GTTTAACCACAAATGTAGTTTCTACTGGGCAATTGGAGGAGCCCTTCTGTCCCTTTCCCATTCCCTCAATACGGAGTACATTGTCTCATGTTCTCTGCTTCTGGGGAGGCATACTGTGAGCCTCTGAACTTGATGGGTTTAGATACTTCAGTTTTCTTGGTGGGACTTCAGACAGCTTCCCTGGCTGCCCTGAATGTGCAGGAGCTGCCAGCAGGTGCAGAAGAGGCACAGTGGCTTTGTAGTTGCCCCTGACCTTCCCAGTGTCAACAGCACGCTGCTTGGGGCTCTAGTCTTTACTTTTGCAGTCTGTGATAAAAACTCTGTTGTGGAGACTCCTTGAAATGCCTCTTGCTTCTCCCTCCTAACCCTGGACTGTTCTGTGGAAGCTGGAGCCTGTGAAGCCTGCTCCAGTCCTCGGTCCTAGGAGGCAAGGACACATTATTCAGGGTCTATAACTAAGCACATACTGGCCGGAGGGGCAGCTGATGTCTGTCTCTGGAGCCCCTTATGATCAACACAGTGTTCTGGAAGAGTATTAGAATCCAACACTGATCAGCTCTTCAGATTCACAGGCTAGATCTCATCAGTGGACAGGCTTGTGGCTATCTGTCTCTCCAGCCACAAGCCTGTCCATATGAAGCCAGCACCTGTATGAAGAGCCAACCTGGCAGCACACTGCTTCTCAGCTGAGTGGAAGCTGCCAGTCTGTACCTGCTCATCTGATGGGTGGACTGTTCACCCCAGTGATCTCAGGTGCAGGGTAACTACTGATAGGATCCACCATCTGGAGGTATCCTGGCAGTGGCCAGCCCAGCTGGATACACCACCCTGAAGGGGCATCCTGGGCAGCTGGCCTCAGGCTGCTGTCCAGTGGACATGGTGCCGTTGTCTAGGCCTGAGCCTGACATGTCTCCAGGCTCCTTGTGACTGGGAGTAAGGGAGTGCTGCTGTGACAGGTGGCCTGGGAACTCTGGGCACAACCAGACAGAGATTCCTAATTCTGTGGGTCTGGTAAACTCAGGCCTAGACCAAGTGTGACTTGTCATTGATTTAAGGATGCAGGTTCTCCTTTTTTTCTTCCCAAGCTGAGCGGCCTGGTTAAATGACTGGCTTTTCAGGCAGGCCGGGATGCGTTTGAGTGGCTCACGCAGGTGCTCTTCTAGCTGTTGCAGAGAGACTTTTGCTTCCTCTCCATTTGGAAATATGGTAGCAATGAGAACAGGGAGTCATGTGCGTTTTTAGCTCTTGGCAGACTTTGGCTGCTCATAGGTGACAGTCATATTGATTTTTTTTTTTTTTATTGCAGTTGTAGATAGACAGGATACCTTTATTTTTATGTGGTGCTGAGAATCCAACCCAGTGTCTCACATGTGCTAGGCAAGCTCTCTGCTGCTGAGCCTCAGCCCTAATCCATATTTGATGTTTTCATGGTAGTTTTCTAATAGCCACCTCCATCCATTGGTGATCGTAGCACAGTCCATTTTTAATATTTCACTCAATATGAATGATTAATTTACATTCTTTAGTAGTTTTTTTTCTTTTCTTTTCATGGTGGCAGGTATGTGCCACCATGCCCAATAGTAGTTTTCTTTAGTTATTTGAAATGAATGACCCAGAATTGAGATTATTTGATCTTTCTGTTTCTTTGTGGAGAAAGCATGTGGTGATTATCTACTCTGAGGTTCACTGCCAGGAAAACAAATGGCCTGTGCCCAGCTCTGCCTTTGGACAAGAAGACGCACAGTTTGCCAGTGTGCAGCTCCTTTCTTAATTGTGGAGGTGTTTGTTTGAAGACAGGAAATTGATTTTCTTGTTCACAGCACTCAGATGTTGCTGTTCCTGGGGATGGTAGAGAGTCCTTAGAAGGAAAGCTGTGTCACCAGGGCTGTTTGCTTTCTGGGTCCAGAAGAATTTGAGACCCATGTGTAGTGTTGAGTGGCAGCCCCGGGGACCCTTGCTGCTGCTCTGTGCCCAGCCTCCCTGCTCTGATTTCCTGGGTGTGGTCGCACCTGGTTCTGTGGCAGGTCTCAGGTCTCTTTCTCAGGGCCAACCCGCGTCCATTTGCAGGTCAGTCACTGCTCACTGCAAGCCTAGGGCTTGGTCCCTGTATGGAGAGGCCTGGCACTGGCATCACCCTTGGGTGTAGTCTTGCTGACTAGACAGCATCTTCCGAAGGCCCCTGGTTTAGTCAGATATGCCCTGGGAGCCCTGAGGCAGGCGCCTGTCAAGTCTGCAGACTGGTTTGCTTTTCACTCACTTGTGTTGTCCTTAAGGATGACTTCACCAGGGCTGAGGTGCCATCAGTGACAGAGTGCCGGGTTTCTGTTCTTGTGACTAAAAGGCTCAGGGGTCACTCCAGTTAAACCTGGCTAACTGGGCTGCATGAAATAACCACACAAGAGACACAAATACCTTTTTCTTTGGGGTCGCTGTGACGGCTCCTCTGACCTTAAGGGTCCGCAGAAAGAGAGAGAGCATGTGCTGACCTCTTTTATTGAGGAGAAGTTATTTAAATGAGGCAAGGGGTCAGGTTTCAGGGGGCTGAGTCTATCTTCATGATGTCCACTGTCAGCAGGTTGACTGACACCTGGGTAGGCCACACCCAAGGGCACAGTAAGAGAAGGGGATACACACAAGGCACTTCCATGGAAGATTCTATCCTAAACAGAGCAAGGGGTTATATCACAAAGGAACAGGTGAGCATAGCTTCACCAATGGGGCTGTAGCAAGACACACCCATGCACAAGACACCAACCCTCGCACCCAAGAAGGGTAGGGAAAGCTCTGCCACATTTCTTCGACTGAGTGCCTCAACACCCAGCCGGGAAATATAACCCAGTCACATGTAAGGTTGGTCTCCCATAACAGATCACTTTCCCAACATGTGCAAGGCCTGGGTTCCCTCTCTGGTGCCTAAAACACAAATGAGTTGTGTCACTGTTTAGAAGGTCTGCACACCACCAAACACATGTGGTGAGGGTTGGTTTAGAAGGTCTGCTCACTACCAAACACATGTGGTGAGGGCCGATTTTTTTTTTTTTTAAACC